GGATGAAATAAATAAAATAAAATAAGGCAATGCATTATCTTTATCTTTAGTGTTTTCATATGGAGAGTCCACTGACACCTCCACAAAAGTCCTTCAAACATCCTTGACTGTGAGTAGGTCAAATACTGGTTTTACTTCAGCGCTTCGTCTGTTGTAACTGCACTCTTCTTTGCAGGTGGCTGAAGGACTACCACCAGCACAAGCAAGAATAGAACAGAACCTTGGTTGTAAATATGTTACAACAGTTACAAAATACAGACAAAGGCCCACAGAGCTGTGTGTAGGCTCTGCACAGGATAACACACAACCGTGCTCATCTCCTGACACAATGCAACTGGAAGTTATTTATCACAGCAGAGACTTTTCTTTTTTTCAACCATGGAAACGGTCCTTTTGTTTTCTATGAGAGTCCAGGCCTTGTTCTGTTGCACAGCACACCTGTGTGTTATTGCTTCCTCATTATTTTACAAGCTGTGGATTTAGAAACTCCAAATGTTTCTCCTGCTTTTTCTCAGGTGCGTCTTATTATTTTATTTCTATTTCGCGGCGTCATTAACGTCTGTGCGTTTTGAATTAAGCTCCCCTTTTGTAGTGCAAGCAACAACTTCCAAATGCAAATGCAACTGTCCACAAAACTACTTTATTGCACAACTTGAGCATCTGTAAATTAGGATTGTGTCAGTGATCAAGTTTAACAGCCACGTTTTCTACCTGTCAAGAACTTCATTGCGGCGGTTAAGAATCTCAGGTTTGGCGTAATGGTCGGCTCCAATCAACTGGTCAGCAAAAGACTGCAAAGCAGCAATCTTCTCCTCCTGTAAATCAAGCCAGGATTTAATGATCAAGACAAAAAAAGGGTAATAGCAGTCAGTTTTCAAAGCTTTCACGGAGCAACGAAATGCCTCACTGACCTGAACGTTGATGGCCTTGTCAAAGTCTTCATGTTTCTTAATGAGGGCCTCCACACTGTCCAGGGAGTCACCCTTGTCATCACTGGCGAGGAAGGCTTCACGAGCTGCCATCCAGTTCTCAGCCTGCTCACAGTCTCTGTTAAAGAGCTGTGGATGGACAAACAACCTTCAGTGGCTGAAATATGGTCTTTAACTGTCTGCTTCATGTCCAAGGATGTCATTACCTGGAGTTCTAGGCACTGATCCAACATCATGCGGCGCTGCACCCAGGCCTTCTCCAGATCAGCGCGCTCACGGTCTAAAGCCTCAAGTTTTTGCTGAATCTCAGGACTAGCATAGTGGCCTCGAGCCAGCAGCTGCTGTCCGAACTGTTCAAACGCCTGGAAAGTACCAGCCCGAGCATCAATCTCTGTACGGTGTTCCTGGAGAGAGAAAAACAAACAAGAAAGAAGACAGTTAGAGTTAAGCAATAACTTATATCGGAAAACACGCAAAGAAAGAACAAGACTAAATATTTGATACCTGGTGTCTTTCTAAAAGGGCCTCGGCTCCAGTCACATCCTTAGCCAGCTCCTCTGAGGACACTAATCCTCGGATGCCATTGATCCAGGACATGAGATCTCTATGCACAGTAAAGAATTGCAGTCAGTCAAAACCCTGCATATCTCTAAGACATCACTTTCCTCAAAAAATGTTAAACATTTTTGGATCCAGCAGTCCCGCCCCCACCTGAAGTCAGAGAGGAAACGCTGCAGGTCATGGGAATTGCCAAGCTTGTCTTTGCGCTGGTCAGCACGTCCCACCAGGCTGCTCCAGGCAGTGTTCAGCTCTGTGCATTTCTCCTGGATGTCATCCACCGCTTCAGGGTGAGACTGGATCAAGCGCTCTGCTGTCTCTCCGAGAGAGTTAACCTAAGTAGAGAAATGGGAAAATTAATAAAAAATAAATACAAGATTTCAGGCTTAAAATTACTAAAAGTAAATCTGACCTTATCCCCCAGGGCAGCCAGGTCTCTCTCAAAGCCCTCGTGTTTGCGCTGCAAAGCCTGGACACTGGCCAAGTCGTGACCGTAGTTGTCAGTGTTCAAGGCCTGGTTCTTCTCCTCAATCCACTCTTTAGTCTCATCAGCATCCCTTAGGACACACAACACAACTCAAGTTAATTGTTGTAGCTGACAAAATGTCCCAAAGCC